AACGGGAATGGGAATGGGATCGGGAGTGGGATCGGGAACGGAATCGGGAATGGGAGAGAGGAGTGGGATCAGGGGGCGGAATAAAGGGGTGGGATGTGTCAACAGCCCCACAGTGACAAGGACACTGCGGCTGCAGGTGAGGGACCGGGGTGGCACCAGGAACGGGATCGGGAACGGGATCGGAATGGGATCGGGAACGGCACTGGGAACAGCACCGGGAAAGGGATCGGGAACGGGACTGGGAACAGGAGAGAGGGGTGGGATAGGGGGGCGGGATAAAGGGGTGGAGTGGGGTAAAGGGATGGGGTGTATTAACAGCTCCACAGTGACAGGGACACTGCAGCTGCAGGTGAGGGACTGGGGTGGCACCGGGAATGAGAATGGGATCAGGAACGGGAACGGGACCGGGAATGGGAACGGGAATGGGCTAGGGAACAGGATTGAGAATGGGATCAGGAATGGCACTGGGAATGGGATCGGGGACGGGATCGGGAATGGGATCAGGAACGGGATTGGGAATGGCACCAGGAATGGAATAGGAAATGGGATCAGGAATGGGATCGAGGATGGGAGAGAGGGATCGGGGAATGGGATAAAGGGGTGGAGTGGGATAAAGGGATGGGATGTGTTAACAGCCCCACAGTGAATGGGACACAGTGGCTGCAGGTGAGGGACCGGGATGGCACCGGGAACAGGAATAGGATCGGGATCAGGAATGGGATCGGGAACGGCACTGGGAATGGGATTGGGAATGGGATCGGGAAGGGAAACGGGAATGGGATCGGGAACGACACCAAGAGTGGGAGAGAGGGGTGGCATAGAGGGATGGGATAAAGGATTGGAGTGGGGTAAAGGGATGGGATGTATTAACAGAACCACAGTGACAGGGACACTGCAGCTGCAGGTGAGGGACTGGGGTGGCACCGGGAACGGGAACGGGATTGGAATGGGATCAGGAGTGGGATCGGGAATGGGATCGGGAATGGGATCAGGAGTGGGATCGGGAATGGGATCGGGAATGGGATCGGGAGTGGGATCGGGAACGGGATCGGGAATGGGATCGGGAGTGGGATCGGGAACGGGATTGGGAATGAGAGAGAGGGTGGGATAGGCGGGCGGAATAAAGGGGTGGGATGTTTCAACAGCCCCACAGTGACAAGGACACTGCGGCTGCAGGTGAGGGACCGGGGTGGCACCAGGAACGGGAATGGGAACGGCACCGGGAATTGGATTGGGAATGGAATCAGGAATGGGATTGGGAGTAGGATTGGGAAGCGGAGAGAGGGGTGGGATAGAGGGATGGATTGCATCACCACCCCCACAGTAAAGGGGTCATTGCAGCTGCAGTGAGGGAATGGGATTGGGAATGGGATATAAGGATGGGATAGAGGGATGGGATAGAGGAATGGGTTGCATTGACACCCCTGTGGTAATTGGGGCCCTGTAGCAGGAGGTGAGGGAATGGGATATGGGGATGGGATATAGGGATGGGATATGGGGATGGAATAGGGGGTGGGATATGGGGATGGGATATGGGAATGGGATAGAGGAGTGGGATAGACGGCTGGAATGTATTGATATCCCTGTAGGAACGGGGACCCTGCAGATGCAGGTGAGGAGAAATTGGGATATGGGATTGGGATGTAAGGATGGGGTGGGATGGGGATGGAGGCAGGAACAGGGATGGGGGTAAAGGTGGGACAGAGACAAATGTGGGACCAAGACCAGGACAGGGATTGGAACAAGGATGGGAAAGGGGAAGGGACAAGGATGGGAGAGGGACAGGAGCGGGGTCAGGATGGGGGTGGAACAGGCACAGTGACAAGGACAGGAACAAGGACAGTGATGGGGACAGACAAGGATGGAGATGGGGACACAGATAARGGGRAATGGGATGGAAAGAGAGATGGGGACAAGGACAAGGATGAGAATGGGAMAGGGACAGGGACAAAGATGGGACACAGAGGAGTGAGATSGGGACAGTGACGGGGTTGGGAACARGAATGGGGACAGACACAAGGGAAGGGACAAGAACAGGGGCAAGGGATGGGAATGGGTTGGGATGAAAACGAGGACAGAGGTACAGATRGGGACAGGGATGGGGACAGGGTGGGTGGTGACACAAACCCTCCTGTCCTTATCCATCCCCAGCAATGGGTCTGGACTGGTGGGGATGGAGCCAGGGGGATCCCTGTATGGGAATGGGTGGGGAATCAGGGGGCACAGCACCCGTGGGTGCTGAYGGTACCGGGGTCTCTCTGCAGGCACCGGGGGCTGAGGGGCCGAGCGGGCCCCCCCTGTTCTGTGTCCTGCGGGGCCCGGGGCTGCTCTGCTACAGCAGCACCAGCGAGGCCGAGACCGGGCAGGAACCCACCCTCACCATCGCTGTCACCAAGGTATGGGGTCACGGGGGGCAGGGAGGGTATGGGGGCACAGGGGGTGTAGGGTTGTGTGGGGGTGTGGGGGATTATGGAGTGTGGGAGTGTGTGAGGGTGTGGGGGGCTATGGGGTTATGGGGTATGGGGGTGTGTGAGGGTATGGAGGAC